GTGTATATGCTATTGTTAGCATAAATTTTGGGTTTTGATACAATGTTATCATCTGATTGTAATAAATGTGACATAATCAGGCGATGGGTATTTTCAGTAATAAGGGTGGCATAATTAGGAACTGAGTCTATCTTTGTAATAAGATTGACATAATCAGAATCTGAGTATACTAGAATAAGGGTGACACAATCAAATTATGAAAATGATGATCTTTTGATCATGAGATTCTGTTATCGCATATAGGGTGATGCGATGAAATTGGGTTGTGATTCAAAGTGTTATTTTTATCGCATCACTGAGATGCGAAAAATTGGGTTTATCGCACTAGTATGGTGTAAGGAGTTATTTGTTGTCGCATCTGTTGGATGCAACAAGGTTGGTTATCGCATCTTTGAGGTGCGACAAGTGTGGGTTATCGCATGTGTGTGATGCAACAAGTTATTGTTATCGCATCTATATGGTGCGACAAGTTACTGTTATCGCATATATTGGATGCGGCAACTTTATTACTTATTTATTTAAAGGCGACAAGTTTATTATTTGATGCGATAAGTGGATGTTGTCTCATCTTCTTGATACGACAAAAAGAGGTTTGTTCAATAAAACGTTGTTTATTTGGTATTTGTACAAATATGAGTTTTGTAAAAGTATTTTAGTCATTTTCACCATGTAATAGTATCAAAGAGATCTCTCACTAGACAGAGCCAAAATAGTAGAATCCTTTAGGTACTTAATATCCTCATGAAACTCGGTCATTATCCCATATATCAACCACAATTATCTCTGCCAATCCAAAATTCTATTCAGAGGTGAAGCAACTAGCCTTGATTATCACTTCATTCATGAACAAGTGCAAAACGATACTCTACATGTATCTTATATCTCAAGCAAAAATCGTCTTGTTGAGGCACTTACCAAACCATTACGTCATGCTACTTGTTAGATTTTTACATCAAAGATTAGCCTTCATCTTTGATCTTCCATCTTCTAGGGATGATAAAGATACAAATGGTATTTCAAGACAATTGTCACATGTATATAATTTATATACACCCAGTCAATACTTATCCAATGTATTTGAGTGAGGACTTAGAGGCTCTGAGTCCAAAGCCTCTGATTCATACATAGGAAAATTTTCACCAAGTTTCAACATTATTACAAGAATGTTTCTGACTTTCTGAAATTTAACTAGAACATTTAGACTCCGTGTAATATTCCTAAAATTGACAATAGCAATAATTTAAAACTCGGTTAAACCGACATTTTGATACCAAATATAAAAGTATTTGCCCAAACATGGAAATCAAGTTACTAGATAGCAAATACAAAGTTTGAATATCAGAGTTTCTAGAGCCACTTTCTTCTTTGTCTAATAGTTGCTTGGGTGAAAAATTTGTAAAAGAGTTTGGGTGATTTAAGACCCAGTGAATCCATGGTTTTCATGCAAGTACAATATCAATAAATAAATTTCACAAAACATCATAAATTTATTATGCATACGGTGAAAACAACATAATTCACAAAGCAAAAGGCGTTATCGAAGATGTTTGGCCCACACAACTTTACCTGGCGAACTCACACAACATGTCTGCACTTACGGCTTAGACAAGCTCACAAAACATGCTCATATGATCAGTTACATAACCATATTGTAGTACACCCCCTTGCCACACAAATACTCAAAACAAATTTTACACGTTTTATGCATATGCGACATAAATATCTCGGAAAAAAAGTCAAGCAAGCTTGTATATCATTATAAATAAAACTGGCAACCATTTTAAAAGTAAATCATATGTAAGTCATATGACAAATCGTAGCCCAAACCGTTTTTTGAAAGGGCTATCATTTCCCCTACAAATTGAAGACCATAACTTTAATTCAAAAACAAAATATGACACTACTACCTACGTTAATCATAGATAATCAAGTGGTTTTCTTGTCAATATTTATTTTAACATTCCATAAGCCGAGAACTTTAGTTTCCACGTTATTTCAACTTATATATATATATTCACACACACCAACCAACAACTTATGCATAACTATGCATGACTACGCATGTATGAAATGTATATATGTGCATCTCTACTTCAAATTCCATCCAACTTATAATATTATTATATATGTGCATATATATATATATATGTATATACACACACACATATATATATATATATATACATACAGTCCAAGCCATTTACCTTGATGTCATACTAAGCAAGTGATCGATGACTACTACTACTATTGTTCATCTTCTCTTTTTTCCCTCAAAACCCACTGGTCACGAGACATAATAATTCAGAACTATGTCGTCTAAGAACTCTAATCACAGAGAGTTCACAAGCATTCAGTCCATCACAGTGGCAAAATATCGAACCATCCATTTTACATTTGTATACATATATATATATATATATATATACATGTTGGAAGAAATGAAGAAGGGATAACGTATATCAGATACAGATCATCATAAACCATACACAAACATGACCATTTATACACATGTAAGCCAACTGTTATGACCCTTTTAATCAACACAACGATTAAGATAAACCAAATAACTACCCAACCGTAAATTGGAATAACTAATTGGATTGTTGGTCTAGCTTACTTTCAACATTTCCCCTTAAGCTAGACATGAACAACATCGATCAAGACTTAGACTTCATCTTCTTGAAGCATCAAACCTTGACATCATCATAGATTTTCAGCTGCTATGGAGAGTATCATCGACCCCCTCCAACTTGACCATTTTTGCTCTCAAATTTACACACATCATCCAGCTTAAAATACATTCATCATCAAAACAAAAGAAACATCCAGATTCTTTTCGTCTGGTAGGTTTATCACAAATAATACAATCAATCTTAAAATTTCTTTCCATAATCAAGTCTTCTAGAATCTTTTCATCTATGCTTGAACCAACCTTCAAACAATTTCTTTACCCTTGTTAAACTAGGCCATACTCCTTTGATGAGTATACCATATGTTCTTGACATGATACATAGATCTTCCAAGCAAATAAGTGGCAATTTTTGCCCAATTGTTCCCATACTTTGCATTTTAAACACCAATTATTTTTCCTTTTCAGAAAACGTACCTTTCTTGATATGGGTTGAAATTTGTTCAACCACCAAAGGCTACACGATTTTGTCATCCATTTGAGGAGTCCTTAAGAAAGAAGGAAACTTCTTTTCTTTAGACCATTTTCTTGTATATGTTCCATTAAAAGATCATCTTCTTCCTACTCCAGGCCCCTTTATTAACATCTCCTGGAATTTGTTTCTTCAACCTCTCATTCTCTTTTATCTGATTTCCACATGTAGCCTGTAGGTTTCGAGTTTCATCTTTAGATGCTTTTGTTCCTCCTTCAATATTGCTACCTCCTCTTCCATTTCTTTTTCTTCCTTTTTTTACAGAAAATTCTATGCCAAAGAGTTTTATTGTAGCCATAAAAAAAAACTTTTGATCTTGTTTTGATTTCTCCTTGAATCTTTTGCACATACCTGTGTCTTCTTATTTGAGTTTCTGTTAGTGTTTTCCTTGAGTTTACTGCACAGAAAAAATTCAAAGATTGTTGTGTTCTTCGTTTATTCCTTCAAAGTCCATAACACACAGATTTCTATGTTCTTCTTCCAATCTTTCCTGTGTTTGTTTTGGTTTTCTTTGATCTTAAACCTTGCTCTGATACCACTACGTTGAAAGAAATGAAGAAGAAGGGATAACGTATAAACAGTGAATGCTATTTATTATGATAATCAGTTACATCATCATCATAAACCATACACAAACATGACTATTTATACGCATGTAAGCCAACCGTTGTGACCCTTCTGATCAACACATGGTTAAGATAAACCAAATAACTACCCAACCGTAAATTGGAATAACTAATGGACTGTTGGTCTAGCTTACTTTCAACAATACACACACACACACACATACTCTTTTTACCGACGCTTGCATGAACCAGTAGGCTCTAACTTTTGGTAACAACTGACATTTCCATTGTTTTTTTAGGTTATTACAAAAACTATGCTACCGGCTCAAAAGCCAATATCATACAAAAATTCTTTTATGAGTTTATTTAACATTTAGGCACTATCAAGAACTGTTTATTAATGTTAGCCGGATAAATATTTACCGGGTCACTTATCGAATAATTATAGCATCATTTGAGAATCTTAACCGATAAAAAAAATATGACAATGATTAACAATCTTACTTGATAAACAAGGGTGAAGACTATTTAAAAAATTTAATATTTATTTGATTTAATTAATTTATTATTTTATCATGTGATATTATTATGTTTAATCTTCAAATTAGGTGATATAATTATTAAAAATTAAAAAGATTTCTAAATGATAATAACATCTTTAATAGATTCTCCAATAACGAGAAAATATGGATTTTAGACAATTTTTTGTTTTATCAAATTTTCCAATTGATAAAGTAGGAGAGATGATACAAAAATCTTAAATTTGAAGAAATAACCAAATATAATTATCATGAGAGAAACATATTTTTTATATTCTACTAATAAAAAATCTTGAAATTAAATATTTATCTGAGATAAATAATATTTTATTAAACATATTTTTTTAATAATATAATAACTGGTGTGATCTTTAAATTGAAATAAATAATATTTTATTAAATATATTTATTTTAATAATATAATAAATATTGCAATTTTCAAATTGAGATAAATAATATTTCATTAAACATATTTATTTGAATAATGTAATAAATGTCATAATTTTAAAAAGCGAGAAAGTTGTTAGAATTAAGTGTAATAATTTTTGGAGATTTAAAATTTTGATTTTTTACTTTCAAGAAATTTTAGAAAATTATATGTCAACCGTTTCCTTGTTATGGCAGAGTTGTAATATTTTTCAACGTCGGGGGTATTTGGCTGACTGTACATGTATATAATCTCCACACACAAACACCCGCCATATTATTCCATTTCATCCTAAAATCATTCTTCACACACTTCACCATAAAACTCACACTTCTCTCTTCAATTCTACTCTCTCTGTAACATTCATCCACCATGGCTATGGCTTTCAAGATGGTATTTCCCTCCTACTTTACTCGCCACATGATTACTGTTAGTTTCAGTTTCATCATATTTCTCAATTTCATATTCTTCAAGTCTCGACTTTACTTTTGATTGTGTCTGAAATTCTGTACACTTTTATGTGAAATCGTGTGTATTTGTTTGATAAATCATGTGCAAATTGTGTATCAACCTGATGATCTATTTGAAGATGATATTTAGATTCAATTTCATTAGATTTGTTAATTTCATAACTCTTCAACTCAATTACTTTGTGATTGTGTCTGAAACTCTGAAATTTTGTGTGATTATGGTAACTGGATCTTCAAATTATCCGGTATTTGTGTGTGTGAAGCTCAGGATCTAATGACTTTTATTGAAATTAATGATGGATTGGTTATGGTGAATGTGTTGGATTTATAGGCAACAACGGGAATGTGGGTGACGGATGAATGCAAGAACTCGTTTATGGAGATGAAATGGAAGAAAGTTCATCGATACATAGTGTTTAAGATCGATGAGAAATCAAAACTGGTGACGGTGGATAAGGTTGGTGGTGCCGGTGAAGGCTACTCAGATCTCGAAGCTTCCCTGCCTGGGGATGACTGCCGCTATGCCGTCTTCGATTTCGACTTCGTCACCGTTGACAATTGCCATAAGAGCAAGATCTTCTTCATTGCATGGTCCGTCTCCATCCTCTTAAGCTCTTTTATTTATATATCATCATTTTATTAAATTAAATATGAAAATAAATTAATGCCAAGTGATCTAGCTACCTATCTAAATTAATTATTCATCAATAACAAAATGTTAAATAATGCTCAAATTATAAGTTATTGTTTGATTTGAAGGAATCCAATGAATTTGGGGGATTTGGATTTCAAATCAATTTCAATCCTGTGTTTGGTTTGTTGGGATATGAAATTCTATGATTTAATTGAAATCCTACAACGAGAGGATTTTGAAATCCTTAGGGGGTGCTCGACATTTGATGGGATTTCTTAGGATCGTATGAAATAAGATTTTAAAAAATGTTAAAAACATTTGTTTTGTAATAATCAATTAATAAAAATGTGATTTAATTATTTTTATTTTATTTATAATTACTTTTGTAAATTATTCATGAATAATGGAATCCAATTTCATTCCAAATTCTACAAAGTAAATACACTAATAATTTCAAATTTATTTCAATCCATAAAATCCAAATCCTTTAAAAAAACAATCTTACAAATTAAACGGAGCTAAATATTAAAATTATAGGTTCTTACCTGTAGATGCCATCAAGTTGATCATCATTTTATATACAGGAAATATTTTATTTAAAGATTAACAATAAGTTTGAAGATAACAAATTATAGACTTTACTCATAAATAAAAAACTAAATTGATATAATTAATGAGGTTAAGTAAATAAATGTGAGAATTATATAAATCTTGATATTGGGGTGTGGATGAGTCCCATGATGATATATTGAAAGAAGAAGTAAAACAGCTTTAGATTTCCCCCAAGTATGAAAAGAAGCATCCACTAGCTAGCTAGGAAAAGTAAAAGCGTGAGAATCATATTCTTTTCTTTTATTTTTATTTTTAATAAAAAAATATGATACAATTCCATCCATCTTTGACATTATCCAACTATAATTTCTATTTCATTTCAATGTCTTCCTTTAGAATAATTACTATCAATCTTAAAAGAATCTTCTATAAATGATCGACATCTTTTCTATGCGAAAATTCATGATGATACTTATTTCAATTGGAATAAAAGATTTGATTTATATATATTGATCAATATGAACGAAAACAACCCTATTCATTTGGCTTGAGGAACCACCAAACCTGATCAAGCCTTAAAAGTCACGATAAAAACATGACGTTTTTTAAGACTGTGTTTTTATGGGAGATATTTGTATGACGTATATACTAACTCATATGTTTTATACTTCAATTTAATTAATGATATCAAACATAAGAAATAGTTTTCTGTTTCTTGAGAAAAGCCTTTCTTCTAGTGCTAAAATGAGTAATTAAATGACCCAATCTAAAATCATATACAACTATTATAATGCATAAAATACAAATAACTAATATCATCATATCATTATAATCAAATATTATTATTAGTTTTCCTTATATTAAAAAAGTTATTTCTTATATATGAATTATTTAAATTTACAGTTTTTGTTTGATAGGAAACATGAAAATTATTAAATCTATATAAGTAGTAAAAGTTTTTCTCAGGTAATATAAGTAATTATTATAGTAGAGAAATTTGAAAGATTATGGTGCAACATTTACCCTTGCCTCAATTGGGAATTCTTTATTCTATCTTTGTGTGTGAGCATAAAAGTCTTTATATCGATTATGAATCTTGCTGCTTTAAGATTTCTTTGAATGGTATTTTTATAATTTGCAACAGTATGGAAGAAAACTGAATAATAAAAATGCTTTATTTGTAGGAATGTTGCATATATATATATATATATATATATATATATATAGGATTTGATGTTAATTTTGTTAAAAGATATATGTCAACCAATCTCTTTATCTTTGAAAACACAAATGAAACAAGACTTAGCAATGAATCAAATTTTGGAGATGATGTAAGATGTGTAATATTTGTTTAATGTTTGGTTGATAGGGCTCCAAGTGCATCAAGAATTAGAGCAAAGATGTTATATGCAACATCAAAAGATGGAATAAGAAGAGTGTTGGATGGCATCCACTATGAACTCCAAGCAACTGATCCAACTGAGATGGGGTTTGATGTCATTCAAGATAGAGCCAAATAACTATCAAATATATATATATATATATATATATATATATATATATATAATGGTTACTTACTAATAAAGACCAGTTATTAGTCTTGATTAATCAGTAATTATTTTTTCAGACTAATCAATCCATAACACAACAATACGCACTTCATCCACTAAAGTTGTATTATGTTTCATGAATTCCCAACCCTTTTAAGCTTAATGATCAAAAGAGGTATATAATTGGCCACTTACATCATCTTTCAGTAGCAAAATCTGATATGCATTTCTGTATATATAAAAAAACATATAAAGACTTTGATTAGGGCATGGTACAGAAGATTTTATGTATCAAGTCCTGATTTACTGACAAAATGATGTACAAATACTTTTGTGAAATTGGTAAAAGATAATCAGGTTATAATTGGTGGATCATGCAAGTAAGTATTTTCAGCTGAGAGATCATATATGATGATAAAGGTCTTTTTGGTAAATAGGCTTAGCTAGTGAGCATGAGATTGGATGCCTATACTTAATAATATATTAATGCATATAACATCGTCTTTTTGGCATATTTGAACTTTAAATAACTCAATTATGCAGTTGCCCCTCGTTCTTATCACTTGTTAATTATTGTACACTGATTAATCATGTATGAATTATTGTCCTTGTACGTTTTTTAAAATGTAATATTCTCTCTTCTTTTTTTTCCTAATTATTTTGGGAAGAATTTAGAAGTTGACATTAATATTGTTTAAAATCATTTAGTTTATGTTCTCTTGCATCATATATGTTATTTAATGCTATTTATTTAATTATGCCACCATTAAATGATTATATTCTATAACAAAGTTTTGTTTGGTTTAAATGAATATTTGTTTCTAATCTACGAAAAAAGACCAACTTCTTGTTTACTCTTTAAAAATGTAGCACAATAAAACATTTTATGAAGGTTTGGTTATTTATTTACACAAGCAATAGGATTTATGGTCTATCTTTCATCATTCTTAATTCAATTTCATTCCAAAACTTTCATGTTTAATTGTTTTCATGTGCTAGTTATATAAGGGGTATTTTGATCATATATATATATATATATATATATATATATATATATATATAGGGAAATTATTGTATAACTTTTGTTATTCATACAACTTCATCTCATCCATTCAAACTTTAATTTATCGTCAGGGAGTCCATTTAGTACTTTTCATTTTTTTATTGTTTAAATTATTAAAGAGTAATATCGGAAATTCTAAATATAACATAATTATTGAATTTTTTTTACTTTTTATAATAATTATCCATAGTTAATGGGATTACATTAAAAAATATTGAGATATCCTAGTTAATACATGTCTCTTCATTCAACGATTTTTTACGGTGGTTTCGTATTAAGATTCTTAATTTCTCGCTTGCATCTAAAATTAGCATTAATGAATCTATTAAATTCTGTCAACGAAGTTTACATGAGAGACGTTTTCTAATACGAAGATCGGTTTATTCACTTAGGCGACAAAGTTGATTCTTCAGTGCAATCGTTGATTGTTGCAGGTGATGAAGTTTGCAAGAGTCTTAGAAGACGTTTTGATGAAGTTGATGTTGGCAATGATGTTGATTCATGTGATTTACCAAATGGATCCATGTAAATAAATTATAAACACAATCGTAATGCATTTGAATTCATTCCAAATTTCGTACATATTCAACCCCATATTCAAATTCACTTGAAACTTCATCGAAATACTATAAACGGTTTAGAAAATCTAAACCTTTATAGCAAAAATATTGTAAAGGTTACATTCACAGTGTTTTGCTGTGAAGGTTCAACTGTAAAAAAATGGTCTCACGGATCTAATGAAAACAGAATGGTTTCACGTGATCCCATGAAAACATATTAGTCTCACGTGATCCAATATATATATATATATATATATATACACATACATACATATAAATGGTTGAGTTTCGGTGAGAATGAAAATTATGGTAAGAAGGGTAAGCAGGGATCTCCACATCGGACTAATCCTGATTGAAGAGAACCACTAGATCAATTCTCTTCTCAAGCGCTATTTGTGGGTTGTTTTGGAACTAAAAGTGATCAAGGGTCGAAATCTCTTTTTTTACACTTCTCACCTTAACTTCTATTCTCACACGATCCTTTATCTATATATTGATACTTATTAATTATCACCACATAGGCGTGCCACCCCCACCCCCTTTCGTAGCTACCTGCGACTCCCCTATCGTGTGACACCCCTACCCATCAAATTAAGAGACAAAGTCGTTTGATTTTGATTTTGTTTTGATTTGGGTTTTGTTCTTCTTGTCCCCTTAAACCATTTGGGTTTTGCTTCTTTTCACTGATCTCGGTATGCTCTTTGTTTTGATTTGGGTTTTTGTTCTTCTTTTCCCAATAGCATCTCCGACCACTATAAAATAGAGACCTCATTGTTGTATTGAAACCTCCATCCATTTGTCATTTTAGGAGTTGATTTGACTCTTGATTTAGGTTTGAGTTTTTGTTTGTTTTAGATTGGATGTGGCAAATCTCTGATGATTACATCGATTTGTTACATAACCCAGTCGTAAACACCTTTTACTTGTACAATATGTAAAACCCATCCAGATTATAGAATTTATTAGTTCGAGTATTTGAGACTTGTTCATCCCAGGTCGTCGGAGGTTTTTTTTGGTTGACCAAAGTGGTGGTGGATTTGGTTAGGGAAAAAGAGGGAGGTAGAGGGTGCTGATTAATGCTGTCAAAATTTATATATGTGAGAGAAAAAATTAGAAAGATTAAAATGCCCGTGATTTAATGGACGGACGTTAAGTCGTTAGCATCCTTTAGTCGAGGAACCAAAACCAGACAAAATGTAAAATACGAGGGTAAATTTGTAGTAACTGAATTATAAGAATGAAAACAAAAAAAAAAAAATTAGAGAAGCCCAAAGACCAAAAATAGCCAAAAAGTTGGTTTAATTTTTGAATTTCTTTAAAAGGTCTCATTTAGTAAACTATAAAATACTTATCTGAAAAGTTACTTTTGACAGTTTTTTTATACATTTTCAAATATGTCTTTTTTAGATTAATTTATATTATTATTTATCTTAGTTTTTAAATTTTTATCAAATATGATTAGTTTCTTAACTTAACTATCAATTGTTTGTCAAACACATTTTAGGCCATACTTGACAAACTAGTTGATTGGTGTATAGATTAATGTTAGCTGATAAACTATCAACATCTGATGAAATTATATGACAATGTAAAAATAATCTCAAAGAAAATATAAGAAATTTAATTGGAAAAAGGTCAAAAAAAAATCTCAATAGACTATCTGAACTGATATTTCAAAAAACCTTGTCTATGACAACAAACAAGACTTTTTACAATAGTATCTTAAAAAACACTACCTTATAGATTATCAAAGAGGGTTTTTTTTTTTTTTTTTTAAATGAAATCAAAAGATAAGACCAGCTCGTTCCTAATATTTTCTAGGCTCTGACGAGATGTGAACAAGAGTCCTCGATAAATACTGAAAAATCTTCAATTTATTGTTTTTAGCTTACACTTTAATTCAAGAAATATTAATAGTTCACATAAAACCGTTTTCCAAGTATTCATAGACGCATAATCAATCAATAATTGTTTCAAAATTAATATTATCTACCATATGATTTTTACATAGCATCGTCAATCTTTTCACTGTCAAAAACATCATATGATATACCTTTAATATATAGATTGCCATTATTTGTATCACAACATTGACTATTCGAAATAACACTTTATGTAAATCAATAAAAATCAGTTCGATTTTCATCTCACCTCATGTTGATTTTGTCACCGTTTTAAACTTTTATGGTTAAAACAAACTTTTTCAGAACCATAAATTATAGAATCAAAAACCCATGTTGGTTATAGATTGATGTCTTATTCTTGTTTTAGAGATAGGATAGTAATCGAGATTTATGCCTCCATATTAGGTAATAAGGAGTCAATAATATATGTAAAAATATGGGTAGTTTTAAAATCCAAAATATAGGACTGTCTCATATGGTTGGTATTTTTTTTTTAAAAAAGGTAAAAACTTTATTAGCTAATAACAAGAAATCTAGCAATACTATAAACTAAACGACCAAATAAGTTTTTACATATTCTCTTCTCTAATTTAATTAATTAATACATGTTTGGGCGCATAATATCATATAAAATTATATTCAGGTCCTAAAAAGTTTGTGTCTTTTTTAATTACTAATTATTTTTGAACTATTACTATATAACATATGCTAAAAAAATTTGGAGCCCCATTTCTTGAGGACCCTGAAATGAAAATGCACCTGGTCCACTCTCTAGAGACGCCTTGAATAAGACTAGTTATAATTATCAAATATGGACATATTAATGTCCTTCAATCTTATCATATTTTTCCAAAAGTTAACTCCAATGAAAAATCAAATATGTAAATGTTTATAAAGTTATGATATATATTATATGGATGTTTAAATTAGAAAACACAAAAATTCTAGTTTCTATGTAAATTATTAGTAAGTCTAAAAAACTGAAACTCAATTGATAATAAATATCATATGTAAATTCATTCATGTGTGTTTATCTATTTTTATTTTTTTACCAAGGATTCACCGACAAATACTTTATTCTTATGTTTTACCATTTACGTCTTTCTTATTTAAACTTTCCTCTTCCTCTTCCTCTTCCTCTTCCTCTTCCTCTTCCTATAATATTGGTACTTAAAATATGAGTTGATATTATTTTAAGAAAAGTGTTGGGCTGAATTGCTTATTAATTGGGCTTTTGAAGAATAACTGAGCCTGATTGATCTCAAAAGAATTTTTTCAGAAATTCGTTGGATTCAATTTAAATCGTCCGATTCAATTAGAACCAACCGACCAAAATCGAATACCCAATTGTAGTCGGATCAGATCGGATCCAAAATTTCAACATCCAAATCAGATCGGATCGGTTCTTGGATGGTAGTCCATCATTCAATAAAACCGATCCGA